GGCCGCCCTCAATTCGTGCAACTCTTGCAAAGTTCAAAAGCGAATGCGCGCGACGTTAAAGCGAAAACCATATTTGAGAAATGCCCCGCCCTCAATCCGTGAAACTTTTGCAAAGGTTGAAAACGAATGTGCGCAGCGCTAATGCGAGAATCACATTTTGAAAACGGCCCGCCCTCAATCCGTGAAGCCTTGGCAGCTGTTTTAAACGAATGTGCGCGGCGCTTCGGCGAGAGCCACATTTTGAAATCTACCCGCCATCAATCCGTGAAGCTCTTGCAAATGTTCACAACGAATGTGCGCGACGCTAAGGCGAGAACCACATTTTGAGAACTACCCGTCCTCAATCCGTGAAACCTTTGCAAAGGTTGAAAAGAACTCTGCGCGGCGCTACGGCGACAGCCACATTTTGAACACGGCCCGCCCTTAGCCCGTGAAGCCCTTGCAAATGTTTTAAACGAACGCACGCTGCGCTGTGGCGAGAACCACATTTTGAAAACGACCCGCCCTCCATTTGTGAAGTTGTTGCAACTTTTAAAGCTTTAGAGTTTTAAGTGATGGGGAAGTTTCAGGCGAAGCGCCTGGCCCGCCCAACAAAATGCTTCGGGGTGCGACAGGGAGAAGTTATTTATAAGGAAAAGGAATGAAGGAGGAGGAAGAAGGAAAAGAGGAGGAGGAAGAAGAGGAGGATGCTGAGGAGGATGTTGAGGAGGACGAGGAGGAGGCGGAGGAGGAGGGACAGACGGAAACGATGATGATGATGATGATGATGTTGATGATGCGCGTGCTTGTTTGATTTTAAGATCGACACATTCGAGACCGTAGCGTAAACATATTGCGGTGATTCCGAGCCGCACAGGTGTTGAGAACAGCGATCGGACATCCAGGAAGGGGTGGGCCGCAGTTTCAGGGCGGCGCGCACCTCAATTCGCAAAGTCAATGGGGGCATCATCAGGGCGTGTCTTGGCAATCCGAAATGGTTTTTGGCCCAGTCTTGCGGCAATGGACCGTCCAATTTCCGATCGCATGGTTGACATCGTCTCTGCGTGTCGCGACAATCAGGAATTGGTTTGGCACAGTTCCTCGGTGGTGGACAAATCAACTCACACGCGCAACGTGGGCATCGTTTGTGCTATGACTCCACCCCACTCGGTGCTGGAGCCAGAGCGCGCGCGAAGCTCGCGCGTGGTTAGAAGTGTCCCGTTCCCCCGGCCTAGGCGCAACCCACTTTCACCCCCCCTTCCCCCCCCTTCCAGGTAACCCAATGTCGCCTTTGGGGTCCGGAGCTCTTTTCGGCGCCCTTGGATTTGACATCGGCTTCAAGAGGCGTCCACGACTCAATTCCGACACGCGAACGGCCAAAAAATCTTTTCGGACGGTCCCACATGGATTCCAGTCTTCTCTGGACAGGCCAAGATGACTTCATGACAGCCCATAAGGCTTCAAACCGCCCCAAGACGGTTCCAAGAGTAGCCCCGGGCGGCCCCAATAGGCAATCATCGTCCCAATCCCAAAGGAAAGCGTGCATGTTTGACATGTTCGCTGTTTGGGATTTTGCCGCGGTCGAGACGGTTAATGAGGCCCCCAATACCGCCATAGGACCGCCCAAAGACGGCTCCAAGACGGTCCAAGAGAGCTCCAATGCGGCCCAATGGCCGCCCAAGACGACCCAACAGCGCCCCAAGAGAGCTTTGCAACAGAGGCCCAAGAGGAAGGTACATTGAACTGACGGTTCAAGCGCTCCGCACCAAGAGGGCCTTCGAGAACGCCAGCGAACTCCCAAGCAACCCCCTAGAGTTAAGTCGGGCCTGTCCCCCTACAGCGGGATTTTCGACGAAACAAAACATACCCCCAAAATAGTCAAACAATAGTCCGAAAATAGTCTGGGGATTTATTTTTTTTTCGTATTTTTTGACCTTTTTGGATGGGTTTTTGGAGTATTTTACCCTTTTCGTGGAAGATCCCCCTCTAGGGGGACACGCCCGACAGAAGACCATCCCCCAGCAGGCATCCGGCGGTGGGTCTCCGACCCCCCCGCCCGGCCCGCGGCCTGCCCTCCGCGGGCCCCGCCTCGCAGGCGAGGCCTCTCCAGGGGGAAGGGCGACCGACGACGCGCGAGAGGCCTCGCGGAGCATCGCCATCCTGCGCTCCCCCTCCTCCCCCTCCTCCCCCTCCTCCTGCTCCTCCTCCTCCTCCTCCTCCGCCTCCTCCCGGTCCCGGGTCGGACCGCGGAGGGCCTCGAGAGCGGCGCCGCCGCGGCGCGCCCGAGGAGAGGCCCTGCGCGGCCGGGCATCGCCCGGACGTGTGCATTTTCCCTTCGGCGAGGGCCCTCGAGGAGCATCCTTGAGCATCACGAGCGAACAACACACACCCATACCCACAGGGGGGTCGTTGGGAGGAGGACTGGCTATGGGCATGGGTGCGGGTCGTCGGACCCTGGGGAACGCTCCCGCTCGAGCGGGGACCCCCACTCGACAACACGCACCCGTAGCCCTCTCCGACCCCCCATGGTTAAGGGTGTGTGTTGTTGGTTCGTCAAGAAGCAGCGCCCCAGACCCCCCCCCTCAAGAGATCAAACTCGGGGGTGAACAGACTTCCGAATTACCCTGACACGTCGATTAGTGAATTGTCCGTTTTCGCTTCTCGAGAGGGCGCCGCGGCCGTGGCGCAAAAACCACGCACGCAACCGCAAAAAATAAACACCGGGCAGGGACGTCCGAGCGGTGGCCAGGGCCAGGTCGCGGGCCCCGCGCTGCGGCCCCGCGGAGGGCTGGGCTGCGATCCCGCGCAGGCGCGTTCGCGCCACGTCTCTCATGGCGCCGCCTGCTCAGGAGGGAACAAAAACACACAGACACAATGAATCGTCGATCCCAAGGAAACTATGGGAAACTATGGGAAGTGGGGGGGAAGACAGACACCCAGAAAATATGGGAAAAGATGGGGAATCCTTTTATTTGTGTGTATTTATTTGTGTGTCCCAGGGCCCCTTCAACTACTCCTGTGTGACGCGCCCAGCGGGCCTGTTGTGTACACACGCGCTCAAGTCAATGTTGCATACAGTGGGGGCGCGTGCCAAGAAACCGCTCGGATTTTGCCAGGGTGCCCCGGGTTTCTTGGATTTCGATGGGCTCCCAGCCAAATCTTGACGATGTTCGATCGACACATGTGGATTTTCACTGAACATCGCGGATTTCAGGGTTGGGTTTCTTGCGGAGGTTTCTTGTGACCGAGCCCCCACTGTACGCCCCACCGTTTCTCATTCGTATACGCCCTCCCTTCCCACGGCGTGATTCGAGCCCGGCCTGGGCCATTCTATGCATATCACTTTTCTCTTGACTCTTTCGCAGTCGCACCACCTGCACGAGGTATTCCGTGCTATGTGCATCTCGCCGTTGCAAGAGTTCGTCGGCCAAATTCACTTGCAAGCACTTTCTCGGTTGTACAGCTATCGTTTTCGTGCGTACTGCCCGACTTGCCGCCCGGCCACACGCTATCTGCACAGGGGCCTCGGCCCGAGCAGAGAATCTAACTCGCCGTAGGGCGACTGCCACCCATGCATGTCGCGCGAGAGTCATCCGCCCCCCGTGGCCTGCAGTCTTCCAGCAGCTCCCCCCGTTTTGTTGGCAGCCCGTGTCGGGCAAAGAGGGGGCCTCGAGTCTTGCCACGAAGAAGCCCCCCCCTGTCTCCCTCTCCCTCCTCCCCCCCCCCCCCCTCCCTTCCTGCCTTCGGAGGGGGGTGCAGGAGCACAAGCCGTCGGAGGCCCGCGCGGCTTTTTCCCGGATCGGCGCCAGGATCCCCCTTGGCGGCACCTCTGGCGTCCCTTTGCGCGCGGGGGCACGGGGGGTCCGGGGCGCCGACCCGAGAAGTCGGCGAGGACCTCCGAAAGCGCAGGGGCAGCGTCAGGGGAACGCCCCGCAGCCCGAGCAGGGGGGCGCAATCGACTCCCAATCGCCCACTGATCGCCCGGGCGCATCGGGGGCGGACAGACCTCCCATACCCTGACACGTCGATTAGTGAGTTGTCCTTCGTCGGTTCTCGAGAGGGCGCCGCGGCCGTCATCTTCCAGGCTCGCGCCCGCCAGGTTTGGGCCTCAGGTCGTTTTCACTAAACCACGTTTTAAGAAAGGGAGGTCTGTCCATCCCCGAACTGATCGCCCATACACAGGTGCCTGATGGCCCATACCGCCCTACAGCTTGCGCATCTGCTGTATTCGGGGCCCGCCGCCGACTTCTCGCCGAGGTTTCCCGTCGATCCCGGCTCGAGGCTGCCCCCCCCCCGAGCCAGCCCACCCGCCTGTTGGTCGCCCCCGCCGAAGTCTGATGGTTCTGCCGCTGTGGTGTGTCCCTCCGCGGTCTCGTGCCTCTCCTCCGCGTCGCCGGCGCGCGGGCCCCGCAGGACGCGTACCAGTTCTACCGCGACGGGATGGCGGCGCAGACGAGCGGGGATTACTCCACCGCGCTGCGGAGGGGGTGGGGCAGGACGGGGAGCAGGAAAAGGAGGCGAGTGGGGAGAGGGGGAGGGCGAGGGAGGGAGGAAAGGGGGGAGGGAAGGCGAGGAGGGCGGAAGGGAAGGGCATGAAGGGGGGGCGAGGGGGGGAGGGAAGGGAGGGAGGGAGGGAGGGAGGAGGGGGGGAGGGGCGAGGGGGGAGGGGCGAGGGGGAGGGAGGGCGGAGTAGAGAGGGTGGGGCGAGTGGAGGGAGGGAAGGAGGTAGGAAAGGAGGGCGAGAGAGGGAGGGAGGGAGGGGGGGCGAGGGAAGGAGGGAGGGGCGAGAGGGGAGGAAGGGAGAGAAGGCGAGGGAGGGAGGGAGGGCAGGAGGGCGAGAGAGGGAGGGAGGGGCGAGAGGCAAGCTGGGTGCGCTCGCGTCATATCTGACGTCCTACCCCTCCCTCCCATCCCTTACCATGGTGTAGATCTCTTCTCTATTCGCACAGTCGGATGTCGCAGCGTGGCATAGCATTGCATGGCATAGCATGGTGTTGAAGATCAGCGCGTAGCATGACATAGCATGGCATCGCATGGCATTGCATGGCATAGCATGACTGCGGCCTGAAAATACAACGAATCGGCACCGAATGTGGAATCACTTCCGATGGCTGTTTCGGGGGTCATTCTTATTTATTTGCAAAGACCCAAAGCCATGCCGTGGCATGGCACTGGAAATAATATCGCCAACGCTGCCGCGGGAACACGAGTCGGAACGAGCGGAGGCGCGGAAATGAGGCCAGCGTTTCAGCGGGAGCACGATTCTGAACGAGCGGAAGCGCGGAAATGAGGCCAGCGCTGCTGCGGGAGCACGTTTCTTCGGAATGAGCGGAAGCCCGAAAATGAGGCCAGTGTTTCAGCCGGAGCAGCGTTCTGAAACAAAAGACCCAAGCGCAAACCCAGTTCCCGGGAATCTTGCGTTTGAAAAGACAGTGCGCGGAAGGGGGCCGAACAGCTTCGGGACGTCATCGGGGGAGAGAGGAGAGTACAGTCGGCACTGATTAGAAGGTCGACCCTGCCAGATCAAGGGTACCCTTGTGTCCTGTGCCTCGCGACGCGTGCCCTCTCACACTCCAACGGCGGTTTGGCCCTCGGAAGGGTCTTGTGTCCTCTTGCGTGCCCTCCCCAATCGAGTCTCCGACTGCATGCCTCTTGTGCAATTGGCGGAGGGGAGGAGGACGACTGCCCTCCTCCTCGCGGCCTTTGCTCCCGCCTCTCGCCGTGGGCGCTGCCCCCCTCCCTCCCCCGCCCGCCCGTCCTCCTCCCCCCCCCTCGCCCGCGCCCGTGGCTGGTGCGCGCAGGGGCGGAGACGGGCGGGAGGGGGTCAGGAGGGGAAAAACACACACACACAGACACAATTAATCGTCATTCCCCAGGAAAATATGGGAGAAGATGGGAAGTGGGGGGGAAGACAAACACCCAGAACATGTAGGAAAATATGGGGAGTACTTTTTATTTGTGTGTATTTCATTTGTGTGTCCCAGGGCCCCTTCAGGGGGATCGGATAAGAGGACGACAAAGGGGGAGGGAAGGCAGGGGCTCGGCATCGCTCGGGCGCGTGCGTCGTTTCTCGCCGAGGCCCCTCGAGGAGCTTTTCGCTGCTCACCGCGCGACACAGAAAGAGACGCGCACGACGCCGAACAAGAAGGCACGGGGCACGGACGCCCGAGCGACGGCGAGGGGGGGGAGGAGGAGGAGGAGGAGGAGGAGGAGGAGGAGGAGGAGGAGGAGGAGGAGGAGGAGGAGGCGGAGGAGGATGGGGCAGGAGGATGGGGCAGGAGGCGGCACGTCGACGGACGAGGCGGCCGCCGGCAACGGGGGAGGGCGAGAGCGGGGGGGAGGGCCCACCCCCCAGGGCCGCCTGGAGGGCTGAGCCTCCCCTTGCCCCCCTCCCCTTGGCCCCCCGCCCCCCTCACCCCCAGCTCCCTCGTCCTCCTCCCTCGCGATCCTCGTCCCGCTCCCGCCCTCCCTCCCCCTCGCCCCCCCCCTTGGCACCGCTCGGACGTGTGCTTCTTTCCTCCGGCGAGGACCATCGAGGAGCATCCTGGACCATTTGGCGAAAAAACCACGCACGAAACCGAATAAAAACACAGGGAATGGACGTCCGAGCGATGGCCAGCCCCTGCTCCCCTCCTGCTCTCGCGCCTCCCGCCCGGCGTGCGGCCGCCGGTGCTGCGCGCGGCGAGCTTCAGCCGGCATCGCTCCTCTCTCTCTCTCTCTGCCGCTCCAGCCCCCCCCCCCCCTCCTGTCGATCTTCTCCCCTCCCCTCGAAGAAGGGAAAAAACTCCATAAGAGACATGTTTTTGTCGGCGCTCCGCGCGGACTTCCTGGATCCGCGCCGGGCGCCTCCGGCGCCGCCCCTGGCGCGCTCCGCGCGCCAGGGAGGGGGCCCAGCGCAGATCCAGGACATCCGCGAGGAGCGCCAAAAGTTGATGTTTGGCTCAAGGTATTTTTTCGGCTCAAGAAGGGGGGCTCCCGGAGGCCCGCGGCACCCGATGGGCGGCGGCAGCGCGGGCGAGGCGGGCGGGGCCGCGGCATGGCGCTTGCGAGAAGCGATGAGACCCTCAGGCTTCCAAGTGTGATCTCTGTCGATGGTGGGCCCGATGCGTTCACGACGGAAGTGCGGGTGCGACGACGGAAGTGCGGGTGCGCCTCACAGTCTTCGATGTTCCAGACATAACGATATCGGCGAGCCGTTTCACTTGCAACTTCTTCCTGGAAGCATCCTGGCTCGACGAGAGCATGGAAGATGAGGATGCGTTGGACGTTGGAGAGTGGGCTCCGCCATTTCCTGTCAAGGGGCAGTCAACACGTGGCTGGTGGACCCCGATGCTTCATTTTTACAATGTCCTGGAGCTCAGGGATAAGGAGGAATGGTATGTTGTCTACAAAAGAGACCGCGCCGACATGGAACTCCTGCCCACTCCTGTGGTCTGCTACCGCATGAGGGCCACTGGTGTATTCCGCGAAAGGTTCGAGCTGTACGAGTTTCCATTTGACTCACAGGACCTGCAAATACAAATCGTGTCATTGCATCCATGTGTCGACGGTTCACGCGGTCAGAGCATCTTTCTGGGAAAACGAACGTTGCTCTGAAGATGAATCACATTGATGAGTACGCATGCGTTGCTCCTGGAGATGATAAGGACATATTCACTTTGTACGACGAGCACATAATGCAAAAGGATGTCCGTGAGAAGAACGAGAGAACGTTGGCTGACCATTCGACGACAAAGAGGACGTACCCTTTGCTGACACTCTACCTTAAGGTGACGCGACGGCCAGGATTCTACCTCTGGTCCTTGCATTTCCTGTTTTGCTACTCCCAGTCAGCGACTTCGGAAACCGCTTGAGCTATCTGTCGACCCTTTTGCGTGCTGCAATTTCGTACAAGAATTGGATAGGAGATGTCTTGCCCAAGTGCTCGTACCTAACTTTTATTGACCAGTATGTGCTTGTCTCCATCGGTGCTGTCTTCGTTGTCACGATGGAGAGCGCCGTCGTTTTTTGGCTGTGGAAGCAGATGTCCGATCCTCCGAAAGTGGCGATGGAGGAAATGGAAGATGTTCTGGGGTTCTCGGCCTCAGTGTGCTGGACATGTTGGCACGTGTGGTTCTGCCAGCTCCAGGAGAGACACGATCCGAATGCGGTAAAGACAGAAAACGAAACAATCAAGGAGGCATGCAGCCCCCGTGCGGCAGGGGGTCTCACCCCAAAACTGAATCGGCTGCCCAGCTGGGTTTCATCACGATCACCGGGTTCTGGATCGACTTCCCTTACAACACGCAGGATGGCGCAGATCAAAGAGGACTTCGCCAAAGAGGACTGACTGGCGAGAGCTGAACTTGGGCACACGTCGGTCCTCGACCCACTGACGTGACGCCGAAGATAAGGTTGCACATTCACATTGGCAGCGCATCGCATGACAACGTATGCCGACATTCGGCGACTGCGCAACCACCCGTGGAGACACACGTTGGCTGCGCCAGGTGATGCAGGAGTTGCAGTGGGAGGTTGCTCGTCCAACTCTGCAAGCGCCGTCATGGTTTACACCCTCTCCGTGTTTCCTCGCAGCCACATGGGCAGGACTCGCATTGTCTGGAACGAGCCAATGTGACATGCATGTGAGTGCAATTGGGAAAAAAGTTGGTGTTGCTTCAGGAGGGAAAGTAACACACAGACACAATTAATCGTCGACTCCCAGGGAAATATGGCAACATATGGGAAATGGGGGGAAGACTAAAAAACCCAGAAAATATGGGAAGATATGTCGGGGGGGGACAGAACCCCCAACGGTGACACGTCGATTAGTGAGTTGTCCGTTTTCGGTTCTCGAGAGGGCGCCGCGGCCGTTATTTTCCAGGTTTGCGCCCGCCAGGTGTGGGCCTCAGGTCGTTTTCACTAAACCACATTTTAAGAAAGGGAGGTCTGTCCGTCCCCGAATCTGGGGGATTCTGTTATTTGTGTGTATCTACTTGTGTGTCCCAGGGCCCCTTTCAGCAGCAGTTCGCTAATGGGGCCCCGGGCTTCATGCGGCACCTCGCGGTCAGGCATGCCGGCTGCAGCATCGACAACAAACTCCTGGCCACGCTGCGCGGCCTCCAGCGCGTGGCCTGCGCAGGGGCTGGGCGCGGCGGCATCAGGCGTGCCGGCATGACATCCTGCAACCACTGCGGGCGCAGCACTCCCACCAGACCGCTGGCCGTTGGGGACCTGATTGTCGGCCCGCGTACGGGTGCGGCCACTCTGGCCACAGAACCCCTCGCAGGGGCATCGCAGGCAGGGCACGACGCCAGCGTCCACGCAGACGACGTTTCCCTCCCTCCCGGCTTCATCGAGAGAGCGCGGCGATTGCCGGGTGGTGCCACGCAGGTGCACACCCCCATCGCACTGAGGGTCAGACACGCCTGGATATGGGCAGCCACACTGGAGGGTATGGAAAAGGATCTTCCGGGTTGGACTGCGCTGGAGGAGGCGCGTTCGCGTTTGCTCCTCACAACCCCACCTCAAGGCATGCACGTGGAGACCGAGATCGCTGTGCGCACGCGCATGTGGGAGGCGAAGCAGTTCGAGGCTTTACTGTCTCGCCTTGAAGCGCAACGCATTCTGGGCCCACGGGGTAGGAGAGGCAGGAGGTCCAGGAGACGCGACGACGCCGCCGAGGACAAGAAACGCAGGAGCAGGAAGCAGACAGCAGAGGGAGCCTACCGCAAGGCCATCAACACCATGACCTCCGAGGATGCACAATGCTCTGCACAGGCCCAGGCACGGCATGCTTCGGAGCTCATCCCGAGGTCCGAGCGGCCCGATGCTCTGTGGGTCCGCCCAGGCGGCGCCCAGCCCTCCGACGGCAACTCCACCTCCGAGGGCGGGCACGGGAATCGACCAGACGGCAGCGCATCTCAGGAAGCATCTCTTGGACCTGCCTCCCACAGCGATGACCATCCCCTCAAAGGTGTGAGGCATGCCGCCCTGACTGCCCCAGGGCCCACTGGAACCAGGGCCGCGCGCGCCAAGGAATGCCTCGGGTGCGCGAGCCAGGTGGTTGCAAACAAGCTCTGCAGGGTACTGCTGCGCGCGCAGGACAAAATACGTCGCGGGGACCTTCGGCCAGAGGCACGGTGGTTAAAGAGGACCCGTGTTATCTTCTTGAAGAAAAAGAGCTCCACTACGCCACGCCCCGTGCGCATGGGAGAATTCCTTAGGGGGGGGCATGGCCAAAAAGGTTCAAAAAAAGGCAGCCCTTCGACTGCGCAAACGCTTCCGCGAGTACCACCAGTGGGGCGTCGAGATGCCTGGGGGCGCGGAGGCTTTGGTGCATTGGGGAGGCCACGTCGAGGAGACGGCGATGGACGGCACGCTGGAGCCCCTTGTTGCGTTCGACCTGGACCTCGAGAACATGTTCGGCATAATCGAGTGGGCTGAGATTCGCGAAGCTGTTCGGCGCGATCTCGAGGAGGCAGAGGGATGGTTCCAGTGGGAGCACGAGACGCCGGAAGAGATCGAGCTTCCCTCCGGAGACGTTGCTGTTTCCGACCGTGGTGCGGGGCAAGGGGGCGTTTTTGGTTCGAGCATCTCTTCGCTCACCTTCGGGCACCGCATCGGGGTTCACATGCAGCGTCACCAGGGGTCGTTGGGAGACGATCCGAGTGCCGGGGCTGTGGGCGAGTGGTTCATCGACGGCGGCCAGGCCTTCGTTCGGCCTGCACAGGCCAGTGCTTGGCTTCGGTCTGTCGACGCTGCCCTGGCAGCCTTCGGAGGGCGCCGCAGCACCGGCGCAGCCTGCAAAAGCGTTGCCTGGCTCCTGTGCCCCGAAGCGCGGATGACCGAGTTCCAGGGGTGGGCCAACGGATACATCTCTGACACATGCCGCGTGGAGGAGGCGGCCACCGCGCCGAAGGTCCTAGGGGTGCACGTGGGGCGCGGCCGTCCTCAAAGTCGAGGCCGCCTGGGCGTCGATCATGGAATTGGACCACCCGCAGTGCGAGCTCACGCTGCAGCGCCGCTGCTTGGACGTCAGCAAGTGCTCCTACATCTTGCGGTGCAACGGCGATCGGATTCCAGAATGCGAGTTGCATCGATTCGATGACTTTCTCCGGGTTGGGGTCGAGACCTCGCTGGCCGGTCGTCTTCCGGACGTAGGGTGGATCCAAGCCACGTTGGCCGTTGATGCAGGCGGGATTGGCATGCGGGAGTCTGCTGCGATAGCTCTCCCAGCCTTCATTGCGAGCCGGGTATCGTCGCGACCGCTCGTGAACGAGATGTTCCAGCACATCGAGAACGCTGGCATCGGGTCACGAGTGTCGCCCTTGCATCGCTACGACCAGCGGACCAACGCAGCACTTCGGAGATGGCTCGACTCCCTCCCCCAGGGCGCGCGGGACCAGGTCCACGACGCCGTCGAGAGGGCAGCCGGATCCGCGGAGAGGAGGTGGCGGGATTGGCGTTCAGGCGAGGAGGGCGATGGAGAGGCCAACGAGGAGGCGGAAGGCCCAGCCCGGCCGCGGGGCAGCAGGCGCCCAGCCGCGGGCCTCGTGCCAGACGCCAGCGCCGAGGACCCCGAGTACCCCGCTTCCCCAGCGCCCAAGGGCGGGCCGCGGCTGCAGAGCGAGCTCGTACGCTTTGGAGATGCCACTGTCGCGCACGGCCCCCTGGCGAAGATGCGCGAGGCCGGCGACTGGGGGCGCGAGCAGCTGCTCAGCGAGCTTTCCCATCCAGACGGCTCGCATGAGTGGCTGTGGGCCGTGGACCCGAACAAGGGGAAGACGCTCTCAAAGGAGGACTTCGTCACGGCCGTGCGGTTGCGGCTTGGAGCAGCGGGCCCGGACGACTTCGCTCCGCGCGGCAACTGCGGCAACGGGGTGATTGGGCCAGTCGGCGCCCATGGGCTCTTATGCGCGTGCGGGCCCAGCACGCGCGGCCGCAATGCTGTCCGCGACGAGCTCTACGACATCGCGAGCAGCCTCGATTCCACGACGGAGCGTGAGCCCACGGGCTTCGTTTCCTCACGTCCAGGGCTCCGCCCTGCAGATGTTCTCACAGGCGTTTCTGGTCTCACAGCGCGCCTTGCGGCTCTGGGCGCGGGGATTGCGGCCCCTGCGGCGCGCGGCGCCGGCACGGATTGTTGCGAGGCGATGCGATGTCGCAAGGTCGATCGGCTCGCGCCATATGCGTACGAGCTGGATGCGGCGGGCGTCGACTACCGACCCATCACGTTCAGTTGCTTCGGGCGCCCGCATCCGAAGGCCAAGCAGCCCGTTTCGAGCTTGGCTCGCCGCGTGGCCCGGCGCAAGGGCACCGAAGTGCACGTAGAGGAGCGCCGGATCTGGTGGCGGATCTCCACCGAAATCTGGAGGCGAGCGGCGCGAATGATCCGGCGCTGCCTGCCCAGCCACGCCCAGGAGGTCGCTGATGAGGACGATGCCTATCACGACCCAGACGTGGAATTCAGGCGCGGGCACCCTGGCAGCGTCGACCCGTCACCTGCGGGGTCGGCGTCCGCGGCCGCGCCCTCGGGTTAGCCGAGGGCGCCGCTTCGGCGAGGCCGCAGCGCCGCAGCGGCTTGTGCCAGGCCCTGTGCTCCCACCGTTTCGGGCCTCTCTCCTCTTCTCCCTCCCCCTCCTCCCTCTTCCTCCTCTCCCCCCATGCTGCACTGATTGGGGTCGCGCGCTGATTGGGGTCGCTCTTCTAGCACATTTTCATTGCTTTTGGGGCCCACCCAAAACAGCCACCCAAGGCTTTTGGTGACTGTGTTGGTCGCGCGGGCTTGGGCCTCGCAGCGGTGGCACAAGCCCTGCTAAGGGGACTGGATTTGTTCAATTTTGGGTATACCGGCCTATCCGCGATCTTAGGAACATTTTGGCGAGGGGCCGAAAATGAACCTAACAGTTTTAAGTCCGTTTCGTGTGGTGCGGTGCGGGAAGCATTGCAAAGCACGACATTGAGCTCTGGGCCCAGGCCCGTAACCACATGTGATCACGTTTAGCAGGTGCCCTTTTCCGGCCCCAAGCGGCCGCCAAAAGGGCACCGATGTTTGTTGGCCAGGGAACTCCTGGCCGGTGACCTCCGACGGCTTCCGGCGACCTCAAAAAGGTCACCGGCGGCCGGGTCGCCAGCAACAGCGCGAAGCAAGTATTGTAATTGCGTGCATGCTTGCGCCTCTCAGGATGATGCGGTGCGCCTCTACGCCCGCATGAACCTGGGAGGGAGGGATATCATCCGAATGCAGTGCGACACTACGCCTGCATGCGGATGCCTCCCAGTAGTTTTGTGGCACTGCCGATTGGGACAACAACAAAACTTCGATGCCGGCAGGGCCCCTTCATGGATGCAGCTTGTGTTTTCTATCTTCGCCATCTGTCCTCCTTGCCTGGGGCCCTGGGCTGCGGCCGCCCCCCGCCCTGCGCCGCGGCCCTCGGCGGAGAGACCGCCGCGTCGGGAGCCCGTGGCGTTCCCCCCTCCCTCACTCCTCCTGTCTCCTGCCTCCCCTCTTTCCCTCCATCCCGAGGCGTTGGACGTGTACGTGCACCTCTGAGTCGTCCCCTCCCCTCCTAGGCCGTTTGAGGTTTGGAGCGGCCGAGGTGCACTAGGTCTCTCCCAACACACTGCATATGCCCTGGCAGTGTGGGGTTTTTATGTTTTGATTTCACTACGTGAAGGCGGAAATCTTCCACAATTACTCAATATGAATACTACTCTCCCTCTTCCCCTGATGACGTGCTGGGAGTGTTCGCCGCCCCCCCCCCCCCCCCCCCCCGCGGCCTGCTTTTTTGCACGCAGGACTCCCGGGAGTTGGGTTTTCGCCTGCATTTTTTTCGAAATGCTGCTCTCGCGGAGGCGCCGGCCTCATTTTCGGGCCCCGCTCGTTCCGAATCGTGCTCCCGCTGCAGCGTGGGTCTCATTTTCGGATCGGTGTTTTACCTCCGTCGTTCAGGATGGCGTTCTCGTCCCAGCGCGGGCCTCTTTCTCGCGCGCCCATCCGCCCGCCACCACCGCGCCCCGCCCCGCCCACCGCCACTTCCCCCCACCGACGCACGCACGCACGCACGCACGCGCACCGCCACCACCACCCCACTACCCCACCCACCGCCACCACGCTACACCGCGTCACACCACATCACACGCGCGCGCACACTGACACACACGCACGCACGCACGCACGCACGCACGCACGCACGCGCGCACATACATACATACATACATACATACATACATACAGACATACATACATACATACATACATACATACATACATACACACACGCACACACACACACACCACCACCACCACCACCACCGCCACCACCACCACCGCCATCACGCACGCACGCACCTGGCCCACCACCAAACCACCAAGACGCCACACCACGTCACACCACAGCACACGCGCACACACGCATACACACACCACCACCACCACCACCACCACCACCACCACCACCACCACCACCACCACCACCACAACCACAACCACAACCACAACCACAACCACAACCACAACCACAACCACGCGCACACGCGCACACGCGCACACGTTCGCGCACCACCACCCACTACGCACGCGCGCGCGCGTAGCCACAGGTCCGCTACGACACGCGTCCGCGGATAGAGAAAATCAGCGCCATGGTAAGGGATGGGAGGGAGGGGTAGGACGTCAGATATGACGCGAACGCACATAGCTTGCCCCTCCCCCACTCCCTCCCTCCCCCCTTCCTCCCTCCCCCCTTTCTCCCCCTTGCCCTCCCCCCTTCCTCTTCTCTCCGTGCAGCTGCCAGGGGGGGCACAGCCCCGACTGGCGAGCACAAGTGGGACGAGCTTGGCCCAGGATGTACGTCAGACCCGTCGACGCGCCAAAATCGAAAGGATGGGGGGCAGCGGGTAGGACCAACCGCTGCCATGATCATGACACTTTGGGCACAGGGCTGGGGCTCGCGTCGAGAAGCCATACTATGCTTTTCGTTAGGGTATCCTGGGTTTCTTTGCTCCGCGCGCTGCGTGGTGACTTCCGCGGCCGTCAAAACAGCTGCTGCGTTCAGTGTTCTCGAGGTTTCCCTTCAGTTGCACCTCGCGCGCGGGTTTTCAGTGTTGGGTTTCTTGCGAGGGTGTCCTGCGGCCGCGCCCGCGCAGTGGGGGGCTGGGGCTCGAGAGGGCCCGATGGCTGGCTCGACCGCGAGAAGGACCACGGAAGTTCCCCGGCGGAGAGCGAGCAAGGCGACCCCCACGGACACACTTGGCGCGCTCACGAGCGACGACTCGCTCGGAGGAGTTTTTGATCGGAGGACGAGATAGCACGACGGAGGAGGTTTTGATCGGGTTTTTGATCGGGCCGGCCGCTCGCAGGGCGGTTGCCAAACAGTACACAACGGAGGAGGTTTTGGTCGGGCCGGACGAAAGGGAGGGATTGGGAAAGGGGGGGGTGGTTACAAAATTTGCTGCATGCAGCTGGTTTCGGCCCCGCCGCCGGGCCCATTCCTCGATGCATGGGCGCCTCCCAGCGCCGGGAGGCGCCGGGAAAATCAGCTACGCGAGCTGATTCCCAACCCCCCCTTTGCTATCCCCCCCCTTTTGCCTGGCCCAATTTGGGCGCGGCGGCGCGGGCACCACCGATCTGCGACGACACCTCGAATGGCCACCTCGGGGATGCGACTGCACGGAGTACGGCGCGATCCTGGTGGCCACGTACGCGAGAACGCGGACTCGAGAGCGCAAGCAAGCATGCTTTGGCACGGGTTCTGCAGACTGCGAGCGTGGTTGCGAGGAACCGGATTACCACCGCATTTAGGAGGGCTACAACATGAATGAGCACAAAGACGCGTTTGACAATACGGACCGACTTAAGCGACAAGCAGCGCAGGGACATTTGGTAGCCGCCGCTTTCTTCTTGCGAAGCATCACCCCACGAGCATGGTTGGCACCCCCGGGCGCGACATTGCGGATCAAGCCCACCACATCGGCGAGTGCATTGAGGGGGGCAGCATCACCACAAAATACGTATCCCCGATCGTCGCATATTGCGCTGCGGCTGGGCTTGGGTAGGGCTGGGGTTGCGTGGGGACGACTGCGGGATTTGGCCGCGGGCAAGTTCGGGCCCCGAGCTGGTCTAACAGAGCTGGTCTAGAAGAGCTGGTCTGCACGTGGTTCTGACGACGAGCTGGTCTAAAAGAGCTGGTACTGCACGTTGTTCGAACAGCGTCGCGGAGTGGGCGCCGACGTCGGCATCTGGTGGTTGATCGGACGGGAACTGCAATGACGGGGCGATGCGGGGCTCATGCAAGTGCGCCACGTCGGCAGGCGCACCTGAAATTGGAAGAGGCGGAAGAGAAAGGTCTCCCTCGACACGCGTTGATCGGGAACTCTCAGGCCGACCACTTTGCGGACAAGGCGGCGGAAGCTCACGACATCGATGACGCGCAGATTGGGTTTTGCGACTGTGCCAAGTCGACGGCAGCCCTGGTGATAATGCGCATCATGGCGGCGACGCAAGACCATCTCGACCGACCGTGCGAGCAAAACGCCTGAAACAGAGACAGGGTGCCAACAAGTCGAGGACACTGTGGCGGATTATCCAGCGGACGGACCTTCAACGACACGCATGCTCGCTCGACCCGGACGAGGACATCGGATGACGATGCGAGTGCCGCGAGCGGAGAGTCGGCCGCCGGACCAGAATCGAGGCATCGCTCGGACGTGTGCATTTTCCTCGGCGAGAACCATCGAGGACCATCCTGGACCATCGAGCAACAAAAACACGCACGAAACCAACGCATGCACGGGAAATGGACGTCCGAGCGACGGCAAGGACTCGAGGCGCCCTTGCAAGCGCACGGAAAAGTTGCAGCGGGCCGCCTCGCCATCCGGGCGCCGAGCTCCTAGCAGAATGGCCCGGTCGCGCCCCGCCCGCGCCCGTTCATCTGAGCGGATGTCGAGGGAAGGTGGTTCCGCAGACGTCGAGCGCTCGCGCCAGCCAAGATGAGGGGCGAACGCGGCGGAGGGCCAAGATGCAACGGCCGAAAGTGCAAGCCCCAGAAGTGGACGCGGATGTCGGAGCACGAGGCCTGGACGACGACGGGGGGGTCCATCGGCCAGGCCGCCAGTCCAGCGGCGCGACGGCGAGCACGGCGGCGGAGAGCAGCGCGACGGAGCGCAGCGCGACGGAGCGCAGCGCGACGGGGAGCACGACGGAGAGCCAGACCTGGGGCACCATAGCTGGGCGCAGGACTGGGCGGCGCGATGGGGCCAGCGCGAGCCGGACGGCCCGAAGCCGCGGCCCCAGCCCGGCGAGCCCGAACGCGCGGCGGCCCCGTTCCTCACTTGCCTTGGCATCGCTCGGACGTGTGCATGTTTCCGTCGGCGAGGGCCATCGAGGAGCATCCCTGATCATGTGGCGAAGAAGCCACGCAGAAAACCGGAAAAAAACACCGGGGAGGGACGTCCGAGCGATGGCGAGGAGAAGGGGGTGGGGCCGGAGGGCCGCGGGCCCCCGCGCGGCGGGCCCCCGCGCGCCCCGCCCCGACGAGCGGGG